GCCCTAGGGTTTGTCTGCAGTCGGAAGGGAGCACTGGTGTTGGACGATATACCCGGTGTTTGGCCATTGTGAAGAAACCCAGTTCCATCCCCGGCAGCACTGGAGGCGAAGGCAGGGTTGAGGCCGAATGAGGCTGAAGGGATCCGCTCCCCTCCGAGGCTCCGCGAACCCCTTGGGCATTCGGAAGCAGGGCAGGTTGGAGCCAAGGGAAGGGCCCGGCAGCCAGGCAAATCCTCGCTGCCTTGGGCCAGAAGCTGCTTGAGCCGCGTTTGGGTCAGGCTGGGCAGCACGTGGGCGCTCCTGGGTTTTCCTATCCCAAGAGCAGAGCCCGGGGTGGCCGAGAGCAAAGACCACAGGAGCCCAGGCAGCCGGGGACGGGAGCAGACGCCTGGACACACGTTGCAGAGCAGGGCTCAGAGAAAGACGTGGGTATTTCAGGAACTCGTGCTCAAGATGCAACAGGATACATGAGAAAAGAAGCAAGCGAGGGTCCTTAACCACCTCTGCAACATGCCACGGCTGGTGGTTCGGGGGGAGAAATAGCCCCTGAGGAAGCCTAGAGCCTCTTTCCCTTCGACAGCAGCAAGGCTGCGTTGAGGACTGAACTGGTCCTCAGTCGGGATGAGAGTTTGAAAGCCCTGGCAGTTTGCAGTGCACTGCTGGGAGTGGATTTGCCTCTTGTCTGCTCGGTATGGTTCAAGCAGAGGCGGTCCTATGTGGAAGGAGGAGAAGGAACAGATGATTTTCCATGCCCTGTTTTCCATGATTACAGAGATATCTAACACCTGAAATGTTCCGGTGTCTCCGAGCAGACCAGAGGAGTCAACGGTGTCTCCTGGTGTCAGTGTTTCAGGAATACAGTTGTGATCTTCCCAAAGCATTTCCAAATTCCTGGCACACCGACTCCTGGTCAGGTCCATCTCTGGGATGTGGCGCTCTGAGCCCTCCTGCTCCGTTTGCCCGTAGGCAGATGTGCACAGATGTGCACAGATGCGGGGATGTGGCCCTTCCTCGGCAGCGCTTCCTTCTTAGCCTCTACACCTTGCAGACCTGATCTGGCAGGAGCAGCTCATCGTTTCGGGCATTGACCTGTGCCTATCACACACGCAGAATGAAATTCAGGCAACCCCACATCTGGCTGGAAATTCTGCTGTATTTCCAAGCAGGTATCTGTGTAACTGCTGGTTTGTTCTTTTATTCGTTTGTTTGTTTGAAAGATTGTGAGAAATTTTAGAGCAATGCTGCAGATCATGAGCAGATGCCCTGAAATAACCGTAACTGTGAACAGTAGGTCAATATTTAATGTTGCTGGATATTTATTTCACTCTATTAACTTTATACCCAAAGAGGCACTTAATGAGGGGAAAACAAAGAGGGTGCACTTTGGAGAAACAAGATATCTGAGTTGGCTGGGATGCAAGTCCCCAGAATACATATAATAAAGCAGCCCGGATAAACTTTTCCGTTTTATTGATTAGCAACTGTGCTGCGAGTGTAAATTGGCTACTTGTAACTATTGCCCTTGCACCATTTATTAGGGCAGGCACGGTGCTTGTCGCATGGGTGAAAGCCCTCGGAGAGCTCGGAGCGCCCGGCTGGTGCTGGGTGCAGGTCTGGTAGTTCCTGTGAAAGTAATAATTACTGCCTAATAGTGCTGAAGTCTTAATGTGCCCCAACTGCCTCCTTTGATGGTTTATCTTAATGCAACCTGTGACATGGGGCACTTTGGCCATTATTAGCACAGTGCCAGCCCAGGCTGCTCCCCCACAGCCCCATTAACCAGAAACGCTCCGTGCACAGATGTGAGAGGACGCTTGGCCAGCCCCAGGGCTGTGAACACGCAGCCCTCCCTATCCTGACGCGCTGCCTGCCCGCTCTGAGCAGCGCCCTGGAACGGCAGGAGCGGATGCCGGCAGATCCGAGGGAATGGCTGGAGCTCCAATGACCTCCCGCAAAAGCGACGGCAGCCCTGGGGAGCTGAGCCACGGATGGGCTGCGTTCTGCAAATCAGCAGCCACGGGGAGTTTTATTCTGGCAATAATGTGCAGGGAGCTCAGGCTGATCCCATATATATATAATATATATACGTATATACATACATACATATATACAAGTATCCATTTCTACTCCTTCAGTATAATTAACCTGTGAGGGGGGTCCTGGAGTGCCAGGTCCACCCCCGGGAGCAACCAGGGTTCCCAGATCACCAGAACAGCTAGTTGGCCATTACAGTAGCCAAGAGCACCAGCGTTTATCAGGCCTGGCACCCCTCCCAAACAACCCCGAGCAAGTGAAGTCAGACGCTGGGGCCAACCTTACCAAGCGTGTGGTCACGGCGGAGCTGCTAGAAGGAGCTTTTCCCTTGGACCTTGCTGGCATCTGTGGCGATCAACATCTGGGGCACATCTGCCCCCTTGTTGTGTCGGGGGATGGAGAAATGGTGGCCCCGGTGACACGTGCCGCACACAAAGAGAGCCTGGAGAGCAGGAGAGCATCCCGGACCTCTTTAAGATGAGGTTCTCCCTTTGCAAAAGAAAAGATGGAGACTGAGAAAGGTTTTACCAGTGGGAAGAGGTGTTACGTGGAATTAAGTCTAGACCAACGCCATATGCATCGTGCCCGCAATACAGTCATTCTTGGCTTGGCGATATAGTAATGTTTAATTGCCATTAATGTAAACAAATCTTAAAAGGTTATCTTCCTGCTTTGCAGGTCAATGGACCTAATGAAGCAGATCTAAGTGGGTTTGAATTGCTCGGATTGGGCGCTTGGTTTCCTGTTTACTTCATGCAAGTGGGTTCGGTTCCTCACAGCTAATATATAAAAAGGCTCTGAAGGGTCTCCTCTGAGCACCAGAACCAGCTGAAACCCTCCAGGCAGCTTCAGAGGAGCGGGAAGGTAAGAAACTCTGCATCAGTCTCCCTCTTTTCTTTAATTTCTATTCTTTCTCCTAAGCTAAGAGTGGCTGTGAATGGAATTTTAGATCATCAGGTAGTGGATGCAGCAGAGCAGGAGCAACCTGCACCTTTGGTTGAGTTTTTTTCCAAAGTGGCAGAAGATGAGAAATCGTCTGGTTGAGTTGGCAGGAGAGACCTGAAGCTGTGTGCATGGGAGCTTCTAAAGAGAAAGATCGTTATTCCAGGGGAGGCTGCAGTACCTGGGCAATATCAGGTTGGGGTCTGTGCTTCTAAACACGTGCTGCAGAGGGGGGAAAAAGGAAAACTGGTTCGCAGTTGTGTCTTATGTCCTCCTAGCCGTGGATAAAATAGGGATAATGCTTCTCCAAAGCAGGCAGTATAGCACAGAGGGGCTAGAAAACCTTCATGTTACAAAGCCCCTGCAGCAGAACATGCTGCTCCAGGTAGCTGTGGAATCGGTCAGCAAAGGACCTTTCATGTGGCTGCCGATCCCGGGATGAAAAGAGCAGAGATGCCTCCAAGCCCGACGGCTCCATTTCAGTGCCATTTGGGCAAAAAGGGCTTCTATTAATTCCAAATTTGTTTTTTTGACAATCTTCTAAAATTTGGACCTCTCTTCTTCCCTATTTGGGTAAATTCACCATCATCAGAGAATGCTTTAATGAGCACTCTTAGAATTAAGGCAATCACATTTCCTCTCCTAGCTTCATAATATCTTAAGCATAATGATATTCTTCCACAGCTTAGCTATTTTCGGATCTATTGTCATACCCACGGTTATATTATATCATCAATATATGTGATGAAAAGCAAATATAAGTTATCTAATCACTTATTTAACCATAATGCTTTTCTATCAACTCTCATTTAAAATATTCCTCAGCTTTTTTTTGTCTAATGGAATTTGCTTTTACTGTTAAGACACTGTCTCTATTTACCTTCTATTGTCTTAGCTAAAATTATTTTAGGGATTTTTGCCCGCGTGCACAGAAAGTTACACCTTTGCTTTTAAGAGTATTTTTCTGATCTTGATGTATCTGAGARCATGTAATGCATTTAGTATTTTTTCACTTACCAAGAAGGGCTGGAAACATTTGTAAATGAAAAGCTGTGAACAACTTTCTAGAAATAAATTGCCTTAATCATAAACGACATTCAAACCCCCACTTTCTGTAAAATAATAATTAAGGTTGTTGTAAGAGTACAAATAGCTATGTGTAGGAGCAAAGTTACATCAATGAATAAACCAATTTGAGTGCTGACCTAGTCCTGGGTTTTGTTACTGCAATATTCTTGTTAACAGCAACCCTCTGCTGCAATGTCATTTCCAGAAATATCTGTAACGAAAAGTGAAGAACAATAAAATATACCTATGAGCCATGATAAAAAATGAAACGTACGGAGTTTGCAAAGGTGGGATAGTAACTTAAAGAGCTCAAATGTCCAAGATCTAGTGAGCTGAACGGTGGAYGTGAGGACTAGGAACAGTCTGAAACTAATAAATCCTGCGATCCCATCCTGTCGCTGTGCACGGGATATTTTTCATAACTGATACACTCACTGTCCGAGGAATTAGACTCGGATTCTCCCAGGAATTCGAGCAGCCTCCTGGCTCCGGCAGCGTGGGACCCTCCGGGGCCACGTCTCTCCCCATTGCCTGATCCAAACACACGGTCCCTTTCCCACGCCTAAGGCTGCTTCAAGCCCTAAAGCACAATGAGGAACCACCAGGGTCAGCTTGTAAACGTGGAGGAAGACAAAGCCCTTGCCCCAAGGACCGGGCAACCCACAATGAATTTGATGGTTACGATAAAATTATAGGGAGCAAACATTACCAGGGCAGGAAAGAACACCAGCGTTGAGAAAGAGTTGAACGGGCAATGGCAAAGAGGGGCTTTGTAGGGTGGAGAAGGCTGTTCCAGGCAGAGACCAAAGAAACACGTTTACAAGCACAGACACGTGCCTAACCGCTACACATCTTTCCGGGTTTACTTTCCTGTCACTTCTCTGTCCCCACGTTTTACAGGGGTCAGGCACCTGAATTGCTTTCTACATTGGAACCCAGAAAAAAAAGCCAAGAAAATGAAGTCTTTGAAAGTTCTCTCTCTGCTTCTCGCTTCTCTGAGCCTTGTTCTGATGGAAGAGAATGTCTCAGGGTGAGTGTTTGGGAACAACCCACAACATGTTTTGAGCCTCTTCCAGCTTCCCGCTGCCGGCAAGTGGGCTCTTTCCATTGGCACCATGCTAAAGAGGTGAGAACATCAGTCCTCAGGTAGATCTTGAATAGCAGACAGCCAAATGTCTAGAGATGAGCAAATGATAAGACATATCAAACCACAGCCCTGAGCCCTTGAGCTGGAGCCAGGAACTCCCAAGTTCTACAAACTTCATGGCTCGGTTGGGAAGGACAGGCTGGAAGTCAACCAGGAAAAGAACTGAGATGCAACTGCCTCACGTGAAGGAGGAAGGAGTCTGAGTGGACTTGGAACCTTAGTGCTGAGCCAGACTTCCAGTCCATGTGAAGCAGGCAAGGGCAGGAAGCCCATACCAAGTCCTTACTATCCATAAATATCCCAAAGCTCCTCCTCTGTGGCTGAATTTAAGCAGCAGCTGGGTCAGCAGCCAGCAAACGGGGTGAGACCTGTGCTAGCCCATCTCTAGCTGTCACTTTGCAGTGCAGAAACGGTCCTTGGTAGCAAGGGGGCTCAAAACTGATCTCAAACCTTGCTGGCTGTGGGAGTTGCATGAGGAACGGCAAGAAGAAGCCCGTGTAGCATCTGCTCCCCACCTGTGCTGGGCTCACCCGGGTCTCTGCTCTTGCCCTAGAGCGAGCACAAGGAGCCCCAGCGCCCGAGCAGTGCAGAAGCGCTACTCCGAGGCCACGCTGGCAAGCGACTACAGCCGCACGATGGACAACATGCTCAAGAAGAACTTCGTGGAATGGCTGCTGGCCAGGCGAGAGAAGAAAAGCGAGTAAGTATGCAGGGTTTCCGAGCTCCTACGATGCAGGCTCCGAGCTGTCATCACCCGACAGCTACAAAAGTTCCTAGGGACGAGGGTATTTTTCTTGGAGTGCAGCAGGGATTCTCTAGGGTTCTTCCTTTTAAGCCCTAGAAATGTTTCTTCTCCCGGCAGACAGCACAGCTATCCCTCCACCTACCCAAGCCATCTTCTGCTGCTAGATGGCAAGGGATGCGGCTGAATTTCGTGCAAAAACAGCATTTTAGCACCCTCTTGTGGCATTCCGGCTGATATCTTCCAATTCTGCCTTTCCAGCAACATCATGGAGCCATACAAGAGGGAAGTGGAGCCCCAAGCAACAGCTGTGAATGGCCAAAACCTGGACCTRGGCACCCAGGAAGCCAACGACTTTTTTGCCTGGCTTCTAAAAAACAAGAAAAATCAGAGGTGAGACGGACAACTGCGTCTTGCGCCCCAAGCCGGGCAGACATGCTCACTTAGGCATCCCAAACGTGTCCAGCCCAAGGCATTGCTTTGTGCAAAGAGCTCATCCTGGGGAAAAAAAATAAAGAAAAGGATTAAAGCTTCTGTGAATTCTTTTGGATTCAGTTGGGGCATTCCCAGCCATTGAGCTCTGCCCTTATTCCTTCTCCACTGGTACTTCTATTCACAAGATGAAGCGATAAATTTAGTTAAGAGGAGTACTGAGATATAGGAGAGGAAAAAATGCAGCTTCCTGGCTGCGGAGATAGGAGGTAGTGAAAGCAAGAGATGAACAGAGCCAAGAGGTGTCTGATTTGACTCAGGCTCAGCTGAGAGACAGGGTCCAATTGCAGCAGGAAACAAGGGAAATCCTCCCAGCTCGCTTTTCTCCGAGTGCTTCATCCCTGTCAGTGGCTCCCCGTTGATGCCGTCAGAACAGCCTCATTTCTCAAGCTCTATGGTCAGACGGCAGCTCTGAACCCAAGCATGAAATGCCCAGATTTTCTA